CGCTGCGAGAAGTTTGCACTTTTATAGATAAATGCAACATATATACATGTACATATACGTATGTATTCAAAAATAACATCAGCTCTTTTGGGTAGGTGTTTCCTTGGCTGTTTCACTTCATGGGAGCATTGAAACCAAACAGAACCTAGGATGTGAGCTTTCTAACTCCACCTTACAGAACATGGACCTGCGTTGTGTATTCTTATAGAGTTATCTCCTTAGATTTGTACATACATGCAGACTTGAACTTTGTTTTCTGAAATTGGACGCCATTTATGAAAATGTGACATAAATCAAATAAAGCCTCATTATTTTCAGATTTTCATTTCTCTCTCCTTTTTGCTGGGTCTGGCAGAGCATCCGGGTCTCTTCTCCTTCTTACACACCTCGCTCTTAGTGGAGCATTTCCCTGGTTAGGTGTTAACAACGGTGTAGATGAGTTGGGGAGAAAAATAAGAGCATGGCAACGATGCCTCCAGCTGCAGCATTTATTGAGCACACACATAGCAGCACACTGTCAAGAGCCTTGACATGTCAGCTCACTTAACCATCACCCTCAGAGCTGGAGAGCCACCACCACCAGCCCCATTTCACAGATGAGGAAACAGAGGTGCAGAGAGATGAGACAACGTGCGTAAGGCCACAGAGCTGGTCGGAGGTGGAGGCAGAATTAAGAGCTCGACAGTCCAGCTGGGGAGTGGGGACTGTCGACCACTCCATCACACTTCCCTCCTTGGGAAGACTCAGGGACTGAGAGCAAAGAGGGGATTCCATTTAGTCACAGGAACTGGCCTGGGGGGAGGGGGAGTTGGTCCCTCATGACCAGTGAAAACTTCTCCTCCTTGACACTTTGCAAGCAGTAAGAGGATGTGCACACATCTCCAGGAGTCAGCTTTGGGGCCCCTATTGTGTCCTTGCTGAGGCCTAAGTGCAGATGTCACTTGGAGACCATCTCCTGGGGTGCAGCCCTGTTGGAGAGGACTAGGTTATCTTTGTAGATGTGCAGGAAGGCATGCTGGTAGGAACAAGACAGCCAGAAACACCACTGAGTGGAGACCTGGCCCAGCAAACCTGCATCATAACTGCTGCAGGTGGGCAGCAGACTCTGCGCTCACTGCCTGCCCCACACTCCCACCCCTTGTCCCCGCCCAGGTCTCGCCATCCCTAGATGCTATCCTGTGCCCTAGCCCATCCCCCACCCTCCCCCATCCCCCACCCGTCTCCACTCACTCCAAAATCATCTTCATTAGAATTTTAAAATTACAAATATTCTACACACCAGGTATAATAAATGACGTAAATGTCAATAACCTTGCCCCAACTCATCCTGTACTAATCTGTTTTCTGTTGCCAACAATGGAATACCTGAAACTGGGCAATTTATTTTAAAAAATGAAATTGATTTCTTACAGTTTTGGAGGCTAGAAAGTCCAAAGTTTGGGGGCACATCTGGTGAGGGCCGTCTAGGTAGGGACTCTATAGAGTCACATGGTGACACAGGGTGTCACATGGCAAGCAGGGAAAAGAGCGTTTTCACATGCTCACTTGCTCTCCTTATAAAGCCACAGTCCACACTCTTGACAACCCACTAAATCATTATTAACCCATTACTCCATAAATGAATTAATCCATGCACAAGGGCACAGTCCTCAAGATCCAATCACCTCTTAAAGGCCACACCTCTCAACACTGCCATTCTGGGGATTCAGCTTCCACATGAGTTTGGAGGGGACAAATGTTCAACCCACAGCACACCAAACACACCCCCAGAGTTGACAACCAGAGAGCAGTCTGTCCACCCTTCCCCTTCCCCTTGCCCTCACATTCCTTCCCTCGCCCTGAATTGCAGCCAGTGCTCCAGACCAGAAGCTGCAGTGCCCCGTTCCTGCTTGAACAGCTGGGTAGGACTCCACCATTGGAATGATCCAGAATCCATGCAGTTATTCCCCTTCTGATGGACACTGAGGTTGTTTCTACAACAGACCATGCTTTAATAGACCTGAAAATCTGGAAAACATCCTAACACTCACATCTGCAAAAGCCTTGCTGGAAATTCAAACAGAAGGAAATCCAAAAGTGATTTCCTCTGAGGGTGGGGGTGGCAGACTTTTTACTATATTCCTTTTTCTACTTTGTGATTTCTAAAACTGTAAATCTGGGCTGGCCAGTTAGCTCAGTTGGTTTGAACACTGTTGTTGAGGGTTTGGATCCTCTTACTGGCCAGCAGCCAAAAACAAAAGAAAACAAAACAAAACTGTGTGAATCTATTATCTACTCAAAAAGCCAAATTAAAATGGAAGTAATTTAAAGTCGGTAAGAAAGAAATAGATATATGTTAAGTATTATACAGTGATAAACAGTACAGGATCATAAAGACAGAATTAGTTCTGTATAAGGGAAATTAGTCTATAGCTGCTCTGTTCAATATGACAGTCACTAGTCACAGGTTTCCAGTTAAATTAAAATTAAATAAAATTAAATATTTGATTCACACTAGCACACATTCAAGTGCTAAATAGCCACATGTGGCTCATGGCTACTGTATTAGACAGTTCAGATACAGAACATTTTTATTACTGCACACAGTTCCACTGGACAGTGCTGGTCTAAAGAGAGACAGACATCTGATACTCTCCATAAGTCCTACCGGCAAAGGTCTGCAGGTGAGGGAGGGTGCTGCGAGCAGAGGGAGCAAGATGGCTCAGTTACAAAAGGGCACAACATCCCCAAGAGAAACTGCCTGGTGAGCCAAACATGAGGTGAAGGAAGATGGTAAACAAGACAAATGATTGAAAAAGCAGGCTTGGGCCAAACAATACAGACCTTTAGCAGCCTACAAAACAGACACTCTAATTATGGTAGACCAAGAGCCAGAAGAGTAAGACTGACTGCTTTCCACCTTCCCAATAACAAATCAGTAGTCAAGTTAATTATTCAGAAGTCAATTATGTAAGCTATGGGGAAAACCCCCACAAAAAACTTATGGTCTGTGGGTTCCCTACAGTTCTGATAATGCTGATGGTTCCTTAGTTATTTCAATAGAGGGAAGAGACAGCAAAAAATACAATGGGCCAAGGTGAGGAACCATTCAGTCTGGTTTCCCAATATTGGACAGAGAGCATACAGGAGACTAAAGTCATTTGCTCTCTATGATGCTGAATTAAGTTGATTGTAGATACACCCCATAATATTACTATCTTTCCTTTCTAAGTCTATAGTTAATATACATTTTCACACTACAATGAGAAACTACCGTATAAGTCTAGAATCCTACAGGATAAGGTTACTTCTTTAAGAAAACAGACCTTCTATATGTAAATGGCATACTATGCTTTCCAGAGAAGACATGTTTTTTCTTTATAGTTGAAATGAGGAAAGTATTTTCAATCATCCAAAGATTTCATTTTTAATATCTTACCCAATAAATCATGGCAATATAAGAAACATCTCATTCACTAAACCAATTTTGCACTCTTCTGCAGCTGCAAATCTGGAAGGAAGAGAGACCACGTATACTGAGCACACAGTACAAAGTAGCTAAATAGTCCCCGCAGGGGCAGCCAGCCTTTGTAGGAAGCAGTTTCTCCTTACAGAGGTTGGGGATCACTCTGAGACTTTGTTACAGGCACTCCACCCAGAGAATGCATGTGCACAGACTCACAGCACTTTCAGCAGCTTCAGGAGGAACCCTGCCCTGTGCAGACCAATAGGGATGAGAGGCGAATCACACTGTCAGCTTGCTGCGAAGCTGCAATGAGCAGCAGTGCCTGCCCCCACCCATCCATGAGAATGGACACCACAGGTGAAGAGTCCTTTGTCACAAGCAGAACTCAATTGTTTATGAAAAGTCTATCTCCATGGTGTAATAAGACACACGAGAAAAGCAGATTCAGTTGTACCAAAAAATGGAAAATGCTGCCAATTAAACCACAAAACAATTCTTTATCATATCATCTGTAAAATGCAACCAGATTTTTAAGATGCTAAAACGTAACAAAAAAGGTGCATCTCAGAACTGGCACATTATGATTGTGTCCATGCTGAAAAAAAAAACCAATAGTTACTCAATGATATCTCTGAAGGGAAAAAATGCACATAGAGGAGGGAATTTAAAGGGATAAAGAAAGAACACTAGTGAAGGTCTGACAGGAGGGCCAGACAGAAGAGGAAAGCCAGGATAAAGCAGAACTACAAAAACCAACAAAGGCTAACAATTGCACAGTTACTATGTGCCTGTCACTAATCTGAAGGCTTTTCATGTAATCTCTGAACGAATCCTCCACAGCCCATGAAGTGGGTCCTATTATTATCCCTTTTACAGACGAGGAAACTTAGTTGCAGACAGGCTGAGGCTTGGTAATTTGGTCCAATTATAGTGCTGATAAGCAAGTGAGTTAAGATTTGAACCCAGGCAGCCTTGAAATCTGAACCCACAGCAGGGTCAGAGACCGGCTTCCCAATACTTAAAAGATTTTTTTGATGAGCTCATTGGTGATATTAACAAATGGATTTTCAAAATATTGAACAATGAAATGTGTCAGTATCCGGAAGATCTGCATAATTAAGTGAACTAATATTTTCCACATGACAGGTGCCTGATGTTATCAAATCATACACAAGTAAAAGATCCATTTGAAGTGCAAGGCAGATCAACACATTTTCACATAACAAGAATGTGAAAAGATTACTGATACAGTTTCAGATTATACAGTTCAACTAACCTTTAAAGAAACTACCACTTGTAAAGTTTAGGTGAAGTAACAAAGGGGAGTATTCACAAAACATACTCTTCCCTTTTTCAACCACCTACCTGTGTGGTCAGATTTTCTTCAACTACAACAACATATCACAACGTACTAAATGCAGAAAAAAAGATGTGAGAATCTAGCTGTCCTCAATTAAGTCTGGCATTAAAGAGATTTACAAAAATGTAGGACAAAAGACACTTCTCACTAAAATTTTGTTTTAGAAAATGCAGTTATTGTTCATAAAAATGTTACTTATGTTAACATGTGATAGATTTTTTTTTAATGGATTCAAAAATATTTCAAACATTTCTTAGTTTTAGTTTCTAATATACCAAATCTACATAAAGTGAAAGAACATTGTCCAGTACTACTATTATACACAAGCATACACAAGCATCTTCCATTGTCATATCTCATTGAATCTGGCAATCCTGTCAGGTAAGTGGTAGTGTTCCTGCTGACTGATGAGGAAATCAAGTCTGCAAAGTCAATGTCCTTTCTCAAGGTAGCCTAGGTAGGAAGTGGCCAGGCCAGTACTGGAACCCATGTCTGTCTGAGACCAGAGCCCTTGCTTTTAACTGCTATACTCTACTGAGTCCACAAGTTGGTGTCAGAACATGACAGGCTTTCCACACGTGTGTTAAGGTGCTGCATGCTGAGAACAACTGGAGTTTTCAGAGTGAGGAATAGAGCTGCGTGACTGATTGTGTGTGTTTCCTCACACGTCTCTTCATCCATTTCCATAGTGGTCACTGTTTCTTTCACATCTCCCAATATCACATTTAAATGCTGATCATAAGCCTGAAGTGGGAGGTCGATGGACTGAGAAACAGAATAATCAAATTAAGAAACAATGAACAAGACTGACCAAATGGCTCCATCACAAATAACACACTAGATACTTATAACACAAGCTTTTACATGCAAATAAAAAGTAATCCTGTTGTACTAATATACTGCTTTTTCACAAATCATTTCCAATGATGACTTAATTGTCTCGATAAAAATATAAAATGTTTATGTGGCCAAAAATGAATTTATTTTAAATAACTTCAAATTATTTTTTAAGTATTCACACTTGTTTTCTAAGGCAGTCACATCATTTATGATATTTAATTATGAAAATAGCAAAATTAGAAGTCACTTATCAGTAAACTTTTTTCAATTCCACCTGTAACAGTGTAACAAGAAAGATACAGTAAAGAGATAAAATTCTTTGCTGAACTGCTAAGATGACAGAACTGTGGTCTTTCAAAGGCACACTGTAGACTAAACACAACAAAGGTAAAGTAAGTAGAGCAACAACCCACCCATCCAGAATTTCAATGTGTTTGGGACCTGTGAGCTCAATCAATGAATATTACAACTAAGATATTCAATCCAAACTCCAAAGTTCATGCATTTTACCAAAAGGTGAACATTCTGGGGTCTTGTTCAGAACCCACTTACGTTTACTTATAACAGTGTTAAATGATTTGTCTGTTCACGTCAAATAAAAGTAGCCTACTGGCCATGTGGGGAACTGCTAGCAGAGCACACTAACAAGAGCAAAAACATATGGCTGAGGGACAGAAAAGAAACAAACAGAAAGCTGGGGCCATTAAGTACAGAGGCAATCGAGTCTAACAAGGAACTGAAGAAGCCTCCAAGTGTTAAGGGTAACACGTATGTCCTGGGGTGTCTCTCCATGCGCCACAGACCCATTAAGCTCAATTCTATTTTTCTTCTCAAAGTTGCCACTTTTCCATTTCCTGGAGTTCCTCTTCCCTTAAGGCTAGCTGTAGATTAAGACTACTATCTCCCTAGGTCCCTAATTCCTTCCCCAAGCCCAGAGGTTCTTTATCTTTAAGTTTTAGGGAAGGTGGAACCCTAGTATAAAGAGCGGGCTGAAGCTAGACTACCTAGATTCATATTCTGGCTCTTGCTATACTGGTTATACCTTGAGCAGATAACTTCACCTTTCTGAGCCTGAGCTTCCTCAACTGCAAGTGGGGACAATTAGTACTTCCCCTCACAGGGTTGTTACAAAGATCAAATGAGATGCTACATACAAAACAAGTAGAATAATAGTACCTGGCATATAACTAATGATCAACAAATGTCAGCTATTTTAAACCACTTTAGGGTAGAGTGACAGTAATAAAAACAACACACTTAGGAAAGTAACAAGTCATCAAGGAGAGGAAAAACTTTCAGTATACTAATTATGAACAAATATGACCACTTTAAGGGACCAATTCAACAGAAATATTTGCAGATATACACAAAGAAAATATGTTTTTAATATGTATATTTTATATACATATAAAAATGCTTACTGCAACATTGTTTATAACAGCAAGAAATGAAAATCTAAATATCACTACTATCATATACAGAATCCCATGTAGTCATTAAAAATAATAAGGAATTATAGGCACTCACGATCAATGATTTCCAAGAAAGATTAAGTGAAAAAGAAAGGTGCTGAAAAACGTGTACAGCAAGATCCCATTTATTTTATGTAGAAGTGATGTACGTAATGCAAAAGTATGCATACGGACACATACAAGTATATACGTGTAAATATAAAGAAAAGACATGCAAGATGATAAACCCAATTTTTAAGTTATTACCAATAGAGGACACGGGACTTCACCATTTATTTCTATGCTGCTTAATTTTTTTCATAACAAAGCACATATTTACATAAATGTCAGTAATAAAAATCATTTAAGTAAGAAGGACAAACAAATGTCATTTATAAATAGAAGGGAAAAATGAAGGGAACAGTTCTATAATAAACACACTATTTCTGTTACAAGAAAAAATGTCATACATATGACTAGAACAGCTGTATTTGACTTGTAGAAATATGAGTGACTTTCCACCTCCCTCTCTTCCACATTTTAAAATACTCTTTCACACTGGACAGTTTTTACATTTCAAGGGAATGGGGTTAGTAAGGCATGGCAAGGCAACAATCCAATTTCAAGGTACTTTGATAAATTTACTTACATGTAATCTGCCTCGAAGCTCTCAGTCATTTCTCATTTTCACATAAATTCGCTCATCCAGGCTGAACCTTATGAGCTCCAGGGGCTCCTCTACGGTGTTGGTAGTTTGTTGCTGATAAAATAGGCTTAGTACTACAGTACTAGAAATAGTGCAGTCTTCAAATCACTGCTATGTTGTGTGACCATGGACAAGTTATTTACCCTGTCTATGCCTGGGTAATTTGTAAAACAGAGATAATAGTGTTTACCTAATTCTGTTATCGTGAGCGTAAATGACATACATCAAGGCTTAGAATAGTGTCTCTCATGTAGTAAGTGCTATACAAATGAGGACTAAAACATATATACATAGGAAAGAGTTATACAACAAAAAAATCATGACTGTACTTCCTTCCATCAAAATTCAATCTACCAGACCCAATTTCAGGGTACAGAGTCAGTCTTGGAATTTAGCCTTACCTCAAATATCATTTCATCATTTGAAAATCATTCACTCGATGTCTACCACACACTTCATCTTATTGTCCATTTGGTACCCTAGATTCAGCCTGCTCTGTGCTGAACTTATACTCTTGCCTTAAGCCTTTACCACTGCTTAGTCAGAATGTGGTGGTAAAGGCTTAAGGTAAGAGTATAAGTTCAGCACAGAGCAGGCTGAATCTAGGGTACCAAATGGACAATAAGATGAATATATTTAGTAAGGCATATAGAATACTGGTTGAAAGCACCGGCTTTGGAGTCATTCGGTCTGGGTTCAACTCTTGGTTCTGAAATGACACTCATGAACTGAAATTAAAAATCACACCTTCTCTAATTCTCAGATTCCTCATTGTAAAATGGGAAAGCCACAGCCTTCCTTCAGGGTTCCTGTGAGGACTAAATGAACTCATGTATTTAACATAGTACCTGGTGTTGATTAAAATGATTGGAGACACGAAGGAAGACACAGCAGACGAGATGCAGGTGAAAAGCGGGGGACTACTGCTCTCTCAGGCAAGTAGCACCGACCCAGCCGCTGTTACAGCTTTTATTACATTTAGCAAGCTTGTGCATGCAAGATAAGCATTAATGCATAAATTCTGCTATACTTTTCTCAAGAGCAGAAGGCCATTACCTCCCTTCTCAAGCACTTGGTTATCTACAATGCGCCTCCTGGGAACATCCCAAGAAAGTGTTCTCACAACTTCAAGTGTTCTCAAGGATTGTTTGCAATCCTTGACATTTCTTGGTTAACTCGTTTGCGAGTTCACCAAGTGAACACATCCTTGGGTGCTAACCACAGAAGTCCATTAACCATTTCCTTCAACCTGGTAAACAGAAAATACTTAAATACTTCCCATTATTACCATTACAGAATTGTTGGAAACATAGGTTTCAGAGTTCAGGACTAGGATGACTTGGGGTCATCCACCTGGAAGGAAGGGTAGTGGCAATAGGAGTCTGTGAGATTGTTCAAAGTGAGTACCTGAGGCCAGTGGAGAAAGGTGACTGTCATAGGCTCAAAAGGATAGACGAGAAAAAAAAAAATCCTGACCTGAACTGCTGCCTCCCCACTGAACACAGTTCAACAGGTGTTTGTTAAGGACCAGATCACCAACCACCAGATTACAACGATACAGAAGTCACAGTCCCCACCCTCTAGTGTTGAGGTATATAAACACATAATTGAATACACACATGACGGCCTACTGCTCCTTAAGCCTCAATGTGGGATGCCTTTATCCACCCTTTTTATCCTGTAGTTTTAAATCTTGCCTTTTCAAAGAGACCTCCCCTGTTCCATTCACTCAATAAATATTTGTTGAGTGTTTCCAGCATTGTTCTAGACCCCGCGGTCAGAAGAGCAAACAAAATCCCTGCTCTTACGGAACTTACATTCCATTAAGGGGACAGACACACTAAACAAAGCAGTGTACACTTAACATGAAAAAAATAACATGCTATGAAGAAAAATAAAACACGGTAAGCAGAGTGGGGGAAGTGCTATTTTTATGCAGGTGGCCAGAGAAGTCCCCTTTGATGAGGGAGATCTCAGTAGAAAGCTGAAGTTGTGGCTTGATCCACAAAGACATCTCAGGAAGAGGAAAGAGCCGGGGAAAAGCTTGTAGGACCATTCGTTAGTCTGTACACCAGTTCCTTGCTTGTTTCCTTCACACCACATCACAGTTCCTATATATCTCACAGTATTGTATCTCCCTCTATCTGTCCTCCAGCAGAATATAAGTTCCAAGTGAGGACAGGATTGGTTATGTCAACGCCAGTGTCCCGGGTGCTTAGGATGGTGTCTAACCCCACAAAGCACTACGTATTTGCTGAATGAGTAATTGTTGCGCTCAGCAATGACGATGACGCCTTAACTTTATCACCACGTTTTCTACTGGAATCCCGACAGCCCCGTAAGGCAGGCAGAGATAATTATTCCCATTCCTCAGACTCAAGGAAAAAAAAAGCGACGAGCTTGATAACTAGTTGGCGAGCTTGGAACGGGAAAAGGTCTCAGGGCCTGCGGCAAAACTCGGAGGGGCGCGGTTATCGAAGGAAGGGGCAGATTCGACTTCGGAGACCCGGAACGAGGAAGCAGGTACTCGGAGAAAGTAGCCCTGGGACGTGAAGCCGAGCGGGGCCAGGGCTGGGAGAGGGCAGCCGTTCCGGAGGGAAACCCTCTGAGCACTCACCAGACCCACGTCGTCCGCCATGGTTCAAACCCGCGCCTTTTCCCGCCTCTCGCGAGAACATGCGAGCGCCTCCGAGTGCTGGAAGCGTATAGACGCAACGCGCCGGAAGTGGAAAGAAATCTGTTTTGCTTTTTTGCTTCTCGCAGTTAACGACGCCATTTGGAGCTGGGCGGAGCTTCGTCTGGGGGCGGAGCTTAGCCACAACGACGGGGCGTGGCCGCGCCGCGCCCACGTGGGTGTGGGGCCCGCGCTTGGGCAACTTCCGGCAGCTGGCCGGGTACATCGTTCTCGAAGAGACTCTCGCTGGCCTACCGCGCGGCGGGACGCGAACCGCGCGGCCGGCATTAGGTTCAATATATAATAGTAAAAATTAGCCTGATTTGATCATCACACAATGTATACATGCATCAAAATACTATTTTGTACTCCGAAAATATGTACAATTATTACATGTAAATTTTAAAAAGTGCAAAAAAAAGTAACATACCTTGCAATAAAAATCAAAATGTCTATTAACATGAGATGATGCTTAGGATATTCGTAATTGAAAAAATGTAACTACAATACTATAAAATACAATAAAACAAATACAGCGTTTGTAGCATTTATATGCTTATAGTGCATAGAATACAGTCTGGGTGGATAGTCTCTACAATATGATGGCAAATTACCTGTAGTTTGATGACTATAATTAGGGATGTTTTTATCTTCTTTTATTTATTTGAGTATGTATTTAGTTCTTACAAATTGACTATTTTTATCATAAAAATAATATAGAAATACACACATATGCACACACACATATACACACATAGTTGATCTTCATTATTTGCCAATTCCACAATTGTGAATTTACCTACTTGCTAAAATTGATCTGTAATTCCATGATTGATACTCCTGGTGTTTTTGTGGTCATATGTCGACATGCACAGAGGGACATTTGAGTCATGCCATGTGCATGTTTCCATCTGAACCTGAGCAAAACGATGCTTGGCCTTTTTGTGCCAGCTCTCAGACTATAAACAAGTGTCCTTTTTATGGTCTATTTGGTGCCATGCTTTTTGTATCATTCTGCTTTTTTGTCAGTGATTATGCTGTTTAAAATGGCCCCCAAGTGTAGTGCTACAGTGCCGTCTAGTGCTCCTAAGGCTGTGATGTGCCTTACAGAGAAATAGCAGGTGTTAGATAAGCTTTGTTCAGGCATGAGTTATAGTGCTGTTGGCCATGCATATAATGTTAATGATCAACTATATATTAAATACAATGTCTTTAAACAGAAATACACATGAAACAAGGCTATATAATGATCGGTTGACAAGATGTTGTGACCAGAGGCTCACAGGAAGCTAATTTTGTATCTCCCCTAGGAGCAAAGGTCAATATTCACTAATTCAGAGTTTGAGGCAACTCTAGAAAGCATAACTCCACAATTAATGAGAATTGAATTGACTGTGTGTGTATGTATATGTGTGTGTAATATGTAATGTAATATAAAAAGTACACTGAAATAGGAGACAGGAAATTTAAAGTTTATTTTGTGTTCAGGTCTCCGGTCAGATACTCCTTGAGCATCCTATCTAAGGCAGGCTTCCCAGATGCTCTGTCGTAGTATTCCTGTTATTGCCCTCCCAGCCTTTTTCGCAGTTTGTAATAATTTTGTTAATTTTTGATCGGCTATCTAGAGTTTAAGCTTCATGAAAGCATGTCTTATTTTGTGTTCTGTCCTATCTTGTTTTCCCACTTGCCTTACCCTGCATATACTAAGTGCTCAATAAATATTTTAAATAATTGCCAAATGCATGCTGTAGAAGGGATTTTTGGGTCTCCTAAAATAACTGGGTGGAAGATTAGAGTAGGTAACCAGCAAGGCCTCCTATGCTCCTATGGTGTTAGAGTCTGTGATTCTGTACAATTATATGTTCATCACTATTAGAAAATAACCAAATGGTAATAATTCCAAAGCCTAGGAGGCGATTTACGTCACGCTTCATATTATGAGTTCCATTTTATTCATTTAGTTGTGTATTCATCGCATATTTTTTTTTTCCTTTTTGTCTTTTTTCGTGACCGGCAACGGATCGCAACCCTCAGTGTCGCGCCCGTATCGGACCGGGACCAGCAACGGGATCGCAACCCTCGGTGTTGCGCCCACACCTCGCTCAGCCAGTGAGCGGCCGGTCTGTATGTGGGATCCGAACCCTCGGCGGGAGCGCCAACGCGCTCCCAAGCTGCGCACAGTAGCAGTGCGCCACCGGGCCGGCCTGTCATCACATATTTTTTGAGTGTTTGCTGTACACAACGAGCTAGGTGACATGGGAGATAGAAATATCTTGGAAGATCTTAAAGTAGTGTTGACATGACATTTGCACATGGAATATATCCAAGGCAGAGTGTGTTGTGGCTTCCAAAGGAATAATCTAGTTTGACTGGAGAGATTGGAAAATGCTCTTTGAAGGCGTTGTTTGATGTTTGACTTTAAGGATAGGTACTATTTCAGCAAGGGGTTATGAAAGGGAGTTAATATTCTAGTCATAGTGTGTATTCTGGGTATGTGGCAATTCAAAATTAAAGGTTTTAATCTGATGGAAATGCTGCCTGCCTGAGTAGCATTAGGTCAACATTTCACCTGGGTGCTAGCTTGGTATAGCACCAACTCTTAATTATATTAACACTTATATAACTACTTAGTAGTTATACCTCTTGGGTAAATTATTTTGGATAAATCATTTAGCCCCTCTGACCCTTGTCTACGAAATTATACACTACCTTGTAGGGGGTTGTGAGTTTTCAGTGAGATGGCATATAAACCTTGGCATGGTCCCATGCTAGGTAATCGGCGTGCTAGCTCACATCATTCAGCTTAAACATAGGTAAGAATGCACGCATGCTTTACTCACACTCTGCCAGCCAGAGGAGCTAGCAGTGAGTGCCCAAGGCAGCTTCTGGGATCTGAAGAGTCGGTTGTGGTTCGATGGAGGAGCATAGACTTAGCAATTGCGG